AATATCTCAAATAATTGGGGCTCTAGCATAGACCTTTCATATTGTACCATCAAATATATATCAATAATAGTTTCGATCCAGTTGGGACATTTTTATAGAACACCCGACTCAGGCGACGTGTTTTTAGCAAGAACGTCCGGAGAAAAGCTCGCTGGAGGAAGTCATGGCATACCCACCCCCTCTCTTATCTTACACCTATGATCAATAAAGATTCATATTTGTGTCCGTACTCTTGAGACCGAACGTAAGCTGATATAAGGTTGATGGTAATGCTGAACATATTTAGATAGGCCAATAGGTCAACAATAATTCTTTGGAATTTATTGTTTGGAATTGTTTCTTCTGTACTATTTTCGAATTTGTTTTGTGTGTACTCGCACGCCTTGTGTGTTGGCCCCCTCGTACTCAATGCCCTCCATTGAATACGTAAGGTACATCAAAATGAATAATATGAAGGTGCTAACTCGCTTACGCAATATATCTTGCGCTTAGGGTTCATTCAATCCCTGGCTCACCAATATTTCCTTCGAGTGGTCTACCTCGAGCGGGCTACCCCGAGCGGACCAATATTTTCCTCGAGCGGACTAACTGAGAATAAGAATTGCTAAATGTTTACTTAACCTGATTCGTTGAACTGCGCGTACGTGTTGTGTACTTTCGGTGATCACGTTCTAGAATGTATGCTCTCTTTGTGCTTACACTCTGAAAAAAGAGCGAGTAAAAAGGGTGTATTTTTTTCCCAAAACAATATTCGTCATCTATATTGCGTTCCATCCTTGCGCTATCGCCCCGCGCCCGGTACATTCTGGTCACGATCGACATGTCCATTGTCAGGGTTACATGCATTCTCGATAGGAAAGTGGCCAGCGCCGAGTTTTCAAGAAAGGAAGCGCACGCAAGCCTGATGACGATTATTGTTGTGGGACAAAAATACACCCTTTTTACTCGATATTTTTTAGAGTGTAGCCTTATGTACGCCAGTTTTGTGTGACGTCACTGTTTGCTGAACAGTAATCAGCTAGGAAGCTTTGTCAAGTTCACAAGAGCTTTGCTACCCATGCCCTCTACTTTTAGGGGCGAAGCTCCTCATGGCATGACTTGTGCGTCCCTCGTCGTCGTGCGTAACCACTGGTGGCACATACCCAAAAGAGCGGTCCTTAGAATGACCGCTGGATGATGATATTTGTATATGATGAATACATGATGAAAAGATGTGAGATGGTGGTACTTGGAGTGTTCACTGGATAGATGGACGGACGGATGGACATACAGATAGACGGACGGACTTACGGAAGGACAGACAGACAGAGGGGTGGACGCATGGATGGACGGACAGGCAGACAAATGAATGAACGGACAGACGGACGGAAGAACGGACGTACGGACAGACGCATGGACGGACTCACCAATGGTCACACGGATAGACGGACGCACAGACGGACGCAAGCAAGAACGAATGGACGGGCGGAAGCACGGACGGACTGACGAATTCGCTTCGCCCCACCAATCATCTTCACTTAATGGATTTGCTGCGATTTTTAAGTGGTGATTGATTGATTGATTGATTGATTGATTGATTTAGTGAGTGAGTGAGTGAGTGAGTGAGTGAGCCGGATTCAAAATCACCAAAGTATTACTCATCCAATCTCCCTAATACACAAACTCGCGGCACGATCTGGGACTGAAGGAGCCTGTGAGATAAGTCTCATGAGCGAGTTTGCCCACTTACGCTATTAAGTGCCCCACATGTGACACTCGGTAAAAGAAGACACACGCTGTGCGATTGCTTTCGTTGTGACTAAGATTCCGTTGACGTCACTCTATTTGCAACGCGGCTTTAGCATAGGGCTGCGGTTCTTCTCGGACTGCGGCGAAGAAGCGCCTGTGATGAGCAATGTAAAAGAGGTGCTGATATTTCTGGGGACTACACGAAACTTGATGACTGGAGTGTCAAGTCAAGTGATTAACCATGGCTAACTTCTGATAAACAAGACTTATCGTTGAAAATGTCTATCTATCTATCTATCTATCTATCTATCTATCTATCTATCTATCTATCTATCTATCTATCTGTCTGTCTGTCTGTCTGTCTGTCTGTCTGTCTATCTATCTATCTGTCTATCTATCTATCTATCTATCTATCTGCCTGTCTATCTATCTATCTATCTATCTATCTATCTATCTATCTATCTATCTATCTATCTATCTATCTATCTATCTATCTATCTATCTATCTATCTATCTGTCTGTCTGTCTGTCTGTCTGTCTGTCTGTCTGTCTGTCTATCTATCTATCTATCTATCTATCTATCTATCTATCTATCTATCTATCTATCTATCTATCTGCTCAACATCTCGCTCATGCTCCATGTCACAAACGACTGCAATTTTCGTATCGTCCGCGGGCCCCATCGTCCTAGGAAGGGCGTTTTTGTGTTGGGAGGACGACATCCGACGAATAACGACCCAGCGATGGCGCCGCCTCGTCTTCCCTGCACCTGTACCGAAATGGGCTCGTGCGGTCTAAAAGAAAAGGAAATGACCTCCAGATGGGACGGGAGCACGCGTACGCCCCTGAAAAAGTTTGAACTGCATCGGGATGGGGAGTTGACGTACAGCCAGCAAGAAGTGCGGTCGTCGGTGTCACGAGTCTCGCGTAGGCGGCGAGCATGGAGTGACCCGCACAACGTATGAGACGGCTGCAATTCCGGGCACCCTCGTCGTCTACAAAGCCGGCGAGATCTTCAGCGGCACCCGTAAACTCCCCTACGTGTACCAAGAGCTGGCCTGGTCCATATAGAACTACTTTTTTTAAAGTGTTAATTTATTATAACCAGCCTTTTTTTTTTTCAAATATTTGTAGTTGTGTGCGCTGCGTCGCACGTCGAAGCTCAGAAGCGTGAGCCTGAGCTTTTTTTTCCTTTTTTTCCGTAAATTTTCCTGGTATCCCCTGTAGTTTCATCCTGTTGTTTCTTTATTATACTCCGCGTATTTGTCTTTAGTCTGTATCTTTTGTAGTGTTTTTTAGCATATTTTGTTATATAGCTGTTCTTTCCATCCCGCGTATATTTTCCTCCTCTGTTACTTTTGAAATCTCCTGTCTTTGCCCCTGTTTTAATTAAATGCTTGTTTTTGTGTAATCAAAACTCCGTGTCTGCTCTATGAGTACGTCGGTCAGGCTCATTCATGACCACACGTGCAACACCGCACGGGTCGACCGACCCGCAAATAATTTGGGGATGTGCCACTTCGAGGCCTTTCAGGCGTCGCAGGCTGAAGCGTAAAGTGGAAGCCTGCGAGTCTGCCGCATGTCGATGTTGGATCGGAGGGGCCTCACCCGAAGTGTGTGACACTCCCTGATCCACTCAATTAAACATCTGCCAGTAGGTCGTTTACGCAGGAGCAGCCGCATGTAAGAGGGATCACGTGGACTATACCGCTACGGAACGTCTTGTTTACGATGGCCCATGCTGAGTTCTACATCCTGTTACATTGCCGATTTCTTTTCCTTTTTTTGATTTTATTTTTGAGAGCAAAGCCCTTCGAGCTTCCTAAGAGATGAAGAGACGAACGGAACGCCATGTCCGCTTGCGACCCCCTTAAGGTTGTGGGCCAGCTTGTGCGCAAACGGCATGACCACCAGCCTGATTTTCTTCACAAGAGACCTCAGCTACAGTACTACGCGACCTTTCCCTCATTATCTGTAAGAGGCTTTCAGCGACACCATTGACGAGCGAGCCATAGAACCCACCAGCCTGACCATGGCCGCTGGACTGCACCAAATGGTTGTTGAAGCTGGGGCTGCATCTTATGGATGCACGACATTCCAGTTTCGAGATCTGAGGCCGCACTTATTGGCGTTACGTGTTCTGGGAGCGAAGTGAAAGATGAGGAAGAGGACAAAGAGCGCGCGTACTAGATCATGATGGCGATAGTCTTCTGTAGGCTCTGCAAGGCTTTACACAGAAATCTCGACAGCTCCGTTTCGGAAAGAAACGAACAAGCGATATTAGCATACACAGGTGTTCAACGCTGCGCACGTTCCGCAAAAGCCATTTGCTCCTAAACCAGGGTCGCAGAAGTGCAGCTAGAGCACGTGCCAGCTGTTTTCACCATTTCAAGCGCCTCCGCAACATCCCGAGTACGCTAACTCTTTAGTCTCTTGTCACCGTGACAGCACCTACATCGGGTTTACGGGGAGGTGTCAACGACTGCTTGAGAGAGCATGCCGATCATCTTTTCGAAACTAACGTGGTCGCCGTATCACAGTGTGGCCATGCACGCGAGCTTTGTAGGACCATCGTGGTGACTGCACACAACAGCCAGAGTAATCGTGAAAATGGCGGAGTCATTTGAAATGGTCAAGTGAGAACTACGGGACTCGGGTGCCCTACATGCGCTGCTCGTTGATCACGTGGCGTTCCCGCAACGCGCACAGTTCTTAACATCTGCGTACGCTAATATCGCCGTGTTTTCATTTTTATTATATCCAAAGGAGTTCAGTTTTCGTCATGATCTCTTTTTAGCTCCTGTGTATATTTGGTGTTGTTCTAATAAACCATCAATTATTAGAAAGCGTTTGGCTCGTATCTTTATTCTGTAGTGCAGAGTTTGCTCTGGCCAAAAATCAGATAACTGGTTATTCATGGTCTTTCAATGTTGCAATATTTCGCCGATAACAACAATAGGCCCCGGCGTGCGTTGTATAGCGCTGCCTCCCGTGCCTGAAAAGTGACGAAGCTGTGCCCCACAGGATGTGCTTTTGTCGATGTGCTTTTGTCGGTTTGCGTACCTTTACCGCGGCAATGATGCCTGGCTGCTTTACACATCATATTCGTTCACTGGCCAGAAAGTTGAGTCAGACCGACCTCCAAGCTTTTTTAACACACACACAAAAAAGAAACATTTTGCTCTTTCTCTCTCTCTCTCTATCGCTAACGAAAGTCACCTAAAAAACTCGCATAAAAAGCGCGCAAATGAGAATTTCCGCGCAGTCTGCATAGCAACACTGCTCCAAGTTTGTTCTATGAGAACATGTCTCACAACGTCGCCGGCCAAATTTCGTAAGTTTCGACATGCCCTGTTAAGCAAATTCTTGAAAGTGCTGCTTCGCGATGCTTTTTAGAGCTTATATATATGAGATCTAACAGGAAATAATGCCAAGGAAAGGCTAGTGTAAGTTATTACACCTAATTGTCATACAAATGTGAAGAAAGAAAAGTGAATGAAAAAAATAACTTGCCACGGGAAGCAACAAATCATGCGACCTTCGAACAACGCGTTCGATGCTCTACCGATCTTATTAATATTGTGTCAAACACGGAAAAAACAAATCATTGGGTAAGCACCTGTTTCCTTAAATCATCAACTCGACTTGATTGATTGATATGTGGGGTTTAACGTCCCAAAACCACCACATGATTAATATAGACATTGTAGTGGAGGGCATAGGAAATTTAGATCACCAAGGGTTCCTTAACGTGCACCCGATTCTGAGTACAAATTCATCAACTCGTATACTGGCAGACTTGGTGCCTTTAGGTTGTATAAGAGGCACTATTGGTCAGCTGCAAGCTCGTGATAGGTCCACGTGCTACGTGACGCCAAGCGAACCGGCTCTCAAAGAGTGTACCACACTCGCCGCCATGGCTACTGGTGGCACTGACCGACACACCCACGTTTATTTCACATATATGCCCAATAAAGCGGATGGAGGGAATAGTCACCATGGTAGCTCAGTTGGTAGAGCATCGAACACGTTATTCGCAGGTCGCAGGTTCGGTTCCTGCCCACAGCAAGTTATCTTTCATCCACTTTCCTTGATTCACATTTGCATTAAAATTGGGTCTTCGCCTATACTTTCCTCGGCATTATTGTATGTTAGACCTCTTTATTATTGTGTCAAACACAAAAAAACGAGCCCTGATGTATACAATTTTTTCCTATATATATATATATATATATATATATATATATATATATATATATATATATATATATATATATATATATATATCTGTGAGCGGCTTTCTCGTTCGAAGCGTTGGTGCAGAAGGCTCGATCAACTAAATATTTTCTAGATGGTGACTGTGCTGCTGTTTTGCGTAGCGGTGAAAGTGTGAGTCAGCGTTGTCCTATGCGTCTCTCATAATCATGTCGTGGTTTTGGCACGTGAAACCCCACATATCTATCATAGTTGCCCTTTCCCTCAGTTAACTTGCAGAAACGTCCTGTTCAATCACACCCACTCACTTTCGTAACGCCGATAGGCTTTCTTGCACTTTATGTTGGCGATTTTCACGTATGAACATACGCTATAGTCCACTTACCCGTCTCTTTAATAATCAATATTTTTGGCCAAAAGCCGGTAAAGTGTGCTCACGAGACCGGATGTAAACAGATAGCAGCGATGCCTCAATCGGGGCAAGCACAATAGGCACAGTACACGTAAAATAGACAATGCAATGGGACACGTGGTACAATGAATGATAGAACAAGTACCATAAAAGCAAGAAGACCTATAAAGAAAGGTACAGACGCCCTTTTGTTTTTCACCTGAACGCAGGAGCATTGACTACGTAGTCAATAAGCGCCGATATCCGGCGTCCTGGAATCTGGTTCCCGAAATAGCCTGACCTATTCACAAGTCTGTATCAGCCACATGTGCGTATTCTCGTTGATTTCAAATCGGTGCTTCGTTATACGGCGCTTATAGACTGGGCGGTCGGCGCTCGCACGTTCAGGTTAAAAAAAGAAAATGTCACAGTTTCATCGCAAGCATATCCACTAAGTTAATGATATGACGAGTGGGCGAAGCTCCGGGAGACCATTAACCCCGTATATTGCCCACTCGATCATGCAAAGACATGACAACACGTTGGCACAGTTTATACAGCCCCACCGCGGTGGTCTAGTGGCAAATGTACTCGGCTGCTGACCCGCAGGTCGCGGGATCGAATTCAGGCTGCGGCGGCTGCATTTCCAATGGAGGCGGAAATGTCGTAAGCCCGTGTACTCAGATTTGGGTGAACGTTAAAGAACCCCTGGCGGTCGAAATTTCCGGAGCCCTCCACTACAGCTTCTTTGGCTTCTTTCATAATCATATATTGGTTTTGGGACTTTGAACCCCACATATCAATCAATTAATCACAGTCATACAAAGTTGTTTATTAAAAACAATGGACATATAGTGTTAGGATGTCCATATGATTATTCATATGGATTTCAATATCAATGTGGATATGGGCATCCATATTAATATTTATGTGGCTATCGGTGTGAATGTGGATATCTATATGGAGATGGATATCCGTATGGATATGCTTATCCATAACGTGTCGCACCGAGGGAGAGGGGACGCAGCTCGACCTTAAGGAGCTTCAGCCCTAACGATTGGAATGTCACGCGAGGAAGAGCAAGCAGATCGAACGATGGAGCACGCTGTTCAATCCCAAATGACACACGAAAAAGAACAAGCATGACAAGCGCGAACTGAAAACGTTCACAGCACGACACCTACGGAGCTGCTCAAACACAAGGGACGCGCGAAACGAAAGCAACGGGAATGGTCGACCGCGCCGTGTAAGGCAAAATGCTCGATGAAGCTCCAACGCATGGCGACGAGCGGGGCGCTGAGCGCGCGCTTTGCGTGATGTCGCTGGTTCACTGGTAAGGCAGAGAACGTGCTTTATTAAATAAAACTTTAAAAAATGGAATACCGCAAAACAAAGACTGATTAGAAATGTCTGCATCCTTAGCAGAATATAGTGTGAATCCACGCAACCTTAACATACACAAATTTACAGACAGGAAACAGAGTTGTACAACCATTAAACGACATGTTAGCATAAAATATAGAATAATTTTCAAAACATCTATCTTAGACACAATACTTAAACAGGTTTTGAATGCATCTTATGTTTTATACGTTTGTTTATTAGTACTTCTTGTCAGATCTGGCTACGTGTAGCCAACAGAACGGCTCCTTAACGGAGAAGCAAGTCTCTCACGCTATAGGCTGCTCGGCATGCCAGGCATTTGTGATTTTTAGCCTAATGTCGAAAACAAATTCCGACTGCTCTTGCACATTGTCAGAATATATTTCATGCGAAACGGTATGCGAGTCAGCCGTTGCCCGATTTCTTGCCTTCGAACGAAACATTATGAGGTAGACCGACGTAGCCGTGTAAATATGGTAGCGATGTACATATTGTCACGAGGTTGTGATACACGCAGCACTTGAGAGGAAGCACGCAGGAGTCAGGGCGGTGTCAGGCGAACTGTTTATTGGGCGAACTTGTGCCCAGCAAAACAGGGCCAAACACAACTCACAGCAACAGCGGCGTGAACAGTCGTCGGCCGACGGAAAAAAAAGACCCCCAGTGGCGCACTGCGCCGGCTTTTTATACACGCGTCGTAACGCGTTCCAGAGTGATATACAAGATAAACGCGGCCTGCGTTGCGCTTAACAGAAAGTGATAGCGGCTTCCTTCGTAAACTAAAAGAACCGCACGTGTCAGTCTTTTATACACGCGTCATAACGCGTTCCAGAGTGGCATACAAGATAAACGCGGCCTGCGTTGCGCTTAACAGAAAGTGATAGCGGCTTTCTTCGTAAACCAAAAGAATCGCACGTGTCACTACCCCCCTCTGAAAAAGCATCGTCCCGATGCTAAAGACAGAACATAAGAGAGAGTACATGCAATAAATTACATTAACAATGCGTCACAGCTAATCAGCGCGTGTAATAAGGTTTAAGTCGCACCACGTGTACGACTTCGGGTCGTGCACGGCGTCGTTGGGATGACGTTAAGCCATCGGGCATGACCTCATAGTCCAGTTCACCACGACGTCGGACTACCTTGTAGGGTCCAAAGTAGCGTCGCAGGAGCTTCTCAGACAATCCCCGTCGTCGTATCGGCGTCCAGACCCAGACAAGGTCGCCGGGTTGGTATTCGGTGTGGTGTCGTCGAAGGTTGTAGTGGCGCCTGTCGACCGTCTGTTGGCTCTTGATACGCAGGCGGGCTAGCTGTCGAGCTTCTTCAGCGCGATCCAGGTAGCTGGCGACGTCGAGGTCTTCTTCGTCGGTTCCGACCGGTAGCATGGCGTCAAGCGTCGTTGTTGGGCTCCGTCCGTAGACGAGCTTGTATGGAGCAAACTGCGTCGTTTCCTGCACGGCCGTGTTGTACGCGAAGGTTACATACGGGAGTATGGCGTTCCACGTCTTGTGCTCGACGTCCACGTACATGGCCAGCATGTCGGCGATGGTCTTATTTAGACGCTCGGTGAGGCCATTCGTCTGTGGGTGGTACGCGGTGGTTCGGCGGTGGCTTGTCTGACTGTACCTCAAGATCGCTTGCGTTAGGTCAGCCGTAAAGGCCGTACCTCTGTCGGTGATGAGGACCTCGGGGGCTCCGTGGCGGAGGACGACGTTCTCAATGAAGAACTTGGCGACCTCGGCGGCAGTGCCCTTGGGCAAGGCCCTTGTTTCGGCATAGCGGGTGAGGTAGTCAGTCGCTACGACAATCCATTTGTTGCGAGAAGTTGACGTCGGGAACGGCCCCAGTAAGTCCATGCCGATTTGTTGGAATGGCCGTTGAGGTGATTCGACGGGTTGCAGAAGTCCGGCTGGCCTAGTTGTCGGCGTCTTGCGTCGCTGACAGTCTCTGCATGTTTTTACGTAGTGGGCGACGTCGGCAGTGAGGCGAGGCCAATAGTACTTCTCTTGTATTCGTGACAGTGTGCGGGAAACACCAAGATGTCCGGCTGTCGGGTCGTCGTGTAATGCTTCCAGAACCTCTGGACGTAACGCTGAAGGTACCACGAGGAGGTGGTCGGCGCGGAGCGGCGAGAAGTTCTTCTTCAGGAGGACGTTGTTTCGCAGGAAAAACGAAGCCAGTCCTCGGCGAAATACTTTCGGCACGTCGGCGGTCTTGCCTTGCAGGTAGTCCATGAGGATCTTGAGCTCTGGGTCAGCTCGTTGGCGTTCCGCGAAGTCGTCGGTACTTATGGGTCCCAGGAAAGAGTCGTCGTCCTGGTCATCCTGGGACGGCGGATCGACAGG